AGCATGAGCTTAGTCTTTTACATAGTGTTCACCACATAATCTATTTGACCGAGATTATCATTATACACAAGGTTCTACCTTTAATTACTTACTTTACTTCTTCAGGAAGAATTTAGTTGGTTGTACCACATCTTACCAACACTTTAAATAATTAAACTATTTAATATATCATTATCTTTCATCTCGGTACTCGAGTCCATCCAGGACTTTCACATACGACTCAATAGTCATGGTAATAATGCTGCCATAAATAACTTGCGGAATCATTGATAATGAGAGAACTTATCTAAATGAATATATGGGTCTCTGCATAAACCCATGAGCATAATCTCTATATTTATCATACCACCACATCACATATTTCATATAAATATTCATTATCCTTCTGGGATATGCTATCCTCCTGGGATATATCGTGTAGCGAATGAAAGCTCTGCCTCAATTTTCCTTTCTATCTCAATCAACCTAAGCGCTTCAAGCACTTTCATCATTTTGATCCGGATCATTATTTGAGATAGTAAAGAAATCACATAGGCAAGTATGTTGTCGACAACTGATATTCAATTTATATTTTTCTCTCAAGCATATATACAACTTCATATTTACTAGCCATATTTATAACCATTTCCCATAACATCTAATTTCGGCATTTCCGCATTTCCAGTACTATAATGGTTTGATGCACGTGCAAGATGTACTGGATCAACTCTTCAGGAGTTCCGTATAAAGGAGTGTTAATTCTTGAATATACATTTTCCGCGGACTTTCATACATCATATATTAATTATAAAACCTTATGCTTCTAGCATTAAGGCGTCAGTCATTCCCTAGGGAATTTGCTTACTTTGTGGTACATTTATATATATAAAAATTGGTCACTCCATTATTACTATAAATTTTATTTGGCAGAAATATAGTATGAATTTCAAGTTCAATATTTATTGCGTGGTTTGAAATATTTATATTTCACATATTTCACGACATTAATAAACTTATGCTCATATCTCCCCCTAATGCCGTGAAATCATCTTTATATATTATGCAAAACACGTACCAAATAATAAACTGATCCTCTATAATGGCCTGTTAGGTATTAAAAATTCGACGGAGTATAAAAATCATAGCATACCTAGTTTGTAATATAGGCCCATAAAGGTACGAATTGGTGGTGATAAAAAATAATAAATTGCAGATGGGAAATGTTGGATTCTCCACGCATTTGAGGGAGAAATTATCATAAATAATTGCCCAATATAATCCAACTGCTCATGCTAATTATCAAATATATAGGTTGGGCATCGAAGTATAATAATCATTTCTAAGTGAACACTATATGCTTCAGGCACTACAACTATACTTTGCTTGTGAGCCTTTTATTGTAGCTATAAACTATATTATATGTTTCAGGCACCACATATAAATTAACATTGTAGCTATCAACAATATAAGTCTTTGGTATGCATCTTATCAAAAATACAAGCAAACATAAATAATTTCAGAATACTTGTGTATAGATTCAATCTATGTAACATTCTGGTTACATAACTTCATTAAAAGTATGTTGAATATGCAGAGCTGATCTAAAATAAAAAAATCACGAATTTATCCAAAAATCAACGAGATCATTGCTAGATAATTCTTATGCAATTATGATACTGGTCAACAGGACCATTCCTTCACGAATAACCAAATCAAGGTCGATATTTAAATTCACTAGTGATACTTTTAATTATATAATCCTTCAAGAAAACTCATATCTATAAGTATAAAATTCAAGAGAATATTTAGGCTCAATAACTTTTGATCACGTCAATACTCAATACATAAAACAGCGGAACAAAATATACAACTATTATTTTCAAACTAAATTCATGTTGTAAGTGCATATTTTGATAGCTTCACCATATATATTCCAAACAACATACACAATTCACATTTTTAAAATTATTCCACATGTGTTTCATGCGTATTCAGATCCATGGACGGATAATAAAATATGTGGGTATTTTTATTTTATAACTCTTCAGGAGTATAACAATTGAAGTATGAGATTTCGTTACATAAGTTATTAATATTTTCCTCCATCATAAAAAATAATCATTATCTAGAGGATAATGTCTAATGGACATATCTTACGTGTCTTACCACTTTCAAATCCTAATAAGTAATGTAAAGAATGATATGATACATATCAAACAAGAGATGCTCATATACAAATAAGAACAATTAAATGAAGAAAATATACAGTCTTATAGAAGATAGATAATATTTTATCATATATCTCACATAAAAAAAATTATACTTTTGTATATGTGCTTCTGGCACTAATACAATCTCAATAAATTACTTTTATATCACCATTCGTAATATATTGTGTCCATAAGTATTGATTTGGTTGGATTTCATTATCCCCATGTATTACTTCAGGAATACAAACAGTTCATAACAAATCATAAAACATCCGATAGCATCTCAATTCAAAATTAGTCATCAAGACTTACTCACAATGTAATTATTCTTTTATATCGATACTTGTATCGGTGTTGATCCTTCAGGGAGTATATCAAAACTTTATTGTGAATTATGAGAGATACTTACATCGATGTTGATCCTTCGGGAAGTATATACAAAAATATTTTTGTTAACTTATAAAAGATCCTTCAGGGAGCGTATAAGAACTTTATTGTCAACTTACAAGCTATCGATAAATAAAATATTGGTTGACATCTTTTAGACAACAGATGCATTATTTTAAGCATTCTATCCATCAACGTTTAATACTAGTGTCCTTCTGGGACTACTAGTATTCAGTTGAATCTTATACATTTGGATAGATATATATTCTTTAAATAATATCTCGCCATTTTTATAATTGCACAATTCTATCTTTTTATCCAACTATATTATAAAGATAATCATAAATTGAGCTATGCAACGTCAATAATATATGTCCAATATTTCCACCACTTTTGTATATAACTTCCTCTCATACACAATAGACATACTTAAAAGTTCACATGAATTAGCACTAAAAACATTAGACATAAATACTTTTCAAATTTTTCAAATCATGTCAGTGAAACTAAAATTTTGCAGATTATATAATACATCATTCAGTCCATAATATTCAAACGAACATATAATAATTCAATAATAGCCAAATTCCACCCACATATATGCACCTCATGCAAGATCATGTATAAAAAATTTTAAGTCCATAAATTCGCAAGCATAGTTTTTAAACCCGGCCCGGTGATTGACCCGGGAAGGTCTCCGGGTCACCGGGTCACCGGTTCAACCGCTGGGTCACCAGGTCAATTGCTGAACCGGATAATTAATTTTAAAATTTTTAAAATTATATATATATATATATATATATATAGTATTTTGTCATATAAATATACATAAAATAACAAAATTAATTGTTTTGTATGTAAAATTTGTATATTAAAGTGATAATAATATTTTTTTAATAATAAATATTTACCATATAAATATATATACATAGCATAGTTTTTAAACCCGGCCCGGTGATTGACCCGGGAAGGTCTCCGGGTCACCGGGTCACCGGTTCAACCGCTGGGTCACCGGGTCAATTGTTGAACCGGATAATTAATTTTAAAATTTTTAAAATTATATATATATATATAGTATTTTGTCAT